CAACTGATAAAAATTGTGGTGCCTCACCCAGTGAATCCTGATCTTGGGTTTAAAATCGAGAAAGCAATCACTCAAATGAAGGAAACGATCCGAAAAAGACCAACCAAACCTCAGCAAATCTTGCAGAACTCCCAGCCTAATTTCCTCGCCTTTCTGTTCAAATCTATGATTCCGGCTTTTGCCTTCTTTGCGAAAAGCATAATTTTGCAGAACGGATTTCTTAAATTTGTTTTTAAGAGCAACACATTCTTCATCATTGAAAAATGTGTCTACGTTCGAGAAGGGAGCTGGGAGCCCTTCGAATAACTTGGTTTTGGTGAGCCACTGGTATTTCGAGGAGGCGTCAAACGCGCTTGTGGTCGATGGGTGCACTATGAAAGCCTTTGCAATAACGTGGGGTGGAACTATCAACGGGATTCCAGTTTGGTGAGCTTCTTGTTTTTCTTTAGTGGCGACGGCACACAGTCGTCGGCGAGCGGCCTGCAGTGTGTAGTGAAGAAACTGCAATTTGTTTCCAACACGTTGCTCCATCAAACGGGCGGCCATGTTGGTTTCCACAGCTGAGCCAGCGATATGCGAGAAGCAAACCCCGCTGAAGTTTTTGTCACACAACGCTTAAAAACGGAAAATCGCGTTGTGTGACAACTTAAGTACGGGAATGTCAGTCAAAGGGTTTGGCTCATTTCTCAACCATCAGATAACAGCTACATGCATCAGTTGGGCCAGGAGGTGAGGAAAGTAACAAACTTTTATGCAGGGGAGGGGCTTCTTCCTGGCCCTTGGGTCAAAACCCTTAACCTTTTTTGTGACATTTTTGACAGAAAAGTTAACCTTTTCATATACCTTCTACAGAAGATGCCCCCTCCCCTTTCAGTTTCCTACAGTACACTTTTACTGATCCTCAAAAATTGTCCCGCAGAAATCTTTCTTCCCGTAAAAAGTCCACATTCTACCTTAAAAAAATTTTCCCAAATCATCAAAAATGGCCTTAGAACCTCCTTACCACTAACACGAGGTGTAAAAGATATTTTGAAATCATCTTTTAAATACCTAAACCATCGTATCTATTTATATACCTCCAGCCTGAAAAAGGAGACTCGCCTTATAGTCCATTATAGGGGGTATGCTGTAGGCAGCTGACAAGTTTTCACGAATTGTCAGATTAGTGGTGTTGCCATTTCAGCTGCAAGGTACGTTTCATAGGGTTCAATGAAAAGATAGCTGGATCTTGAAAGTGTTCACTGAGGATATAGATTTTGGAGGGCAGCCTGGGATCTCAGTTCAAGTTCACAGATCAGGTATACACTATAGAGCTGAGAATATCCTGGGGAAACTAGAACAGATTTTCTCACTATTGCAGAATGTCCTAGGGAGGGGAGATACTCCCAGAATTGGGTGGGGTATGCAGCCCACTTCCCAAAACCCTTACTCCAAGACCAAATTCTGCAATTTTTCCCACCATATTTATGGCCTGACCAAAACTTTTGATACCCTTTTTAAGACCTGACCTTTAAATCAATACCCCGTTTCAGCCCAACCTCATTCCTAGGGCCCTTGGGGAGGAGGGGGGTACTCCCAGAAAAATTGGGTGGGGGTGTGCAGCCTGCTTCTAAAACCCTTACCCTATTTATAGCCAAAATCTGTGATATTCCCTGCCGTATTTATGACCTGACAAAAAATTTGAAACCCTATTAATGACCTGACATCAAAACCCTGTTTCAGACCTGCATTGTAATTAGTTCCCTAGTTCAGACCAATATTAAATTACCATAAACATAATTTGTGATGGGCTTTGTTGATTTTCTTTTCGATAATGAAGAAAAAGTGGCTTCTTCTTAAAAACATACCCATATCAAGGCTAGAGTGCAAAAACCATATCCTATTTATGACCAAAATTGGCCAGAATTGATACCCTATTTATGACCAAACGGGCTGAAAAACCATACCGTTTAGGGCTGCACATACCTATAAAGCCCATATAAGGGAGTAACCTCCCCCCTCCCTAACCCTGGGTTAGGGTCTTTTCCCTCAAAAGAAAAAGCCCTAGGAACGAGATTAGTTTCAGGCCTGCCTTAAAAATAATTCCTTAGTTCAGACCAATGTTACAGGCAATGTTTATATGCTTTCATTAGGTACATGTACGATAGCTTGTTCTAAAAATCATACCCAAAAGTACCTCATGTGCACGTTGGTAAATTTGCTACAAGTTGACCCTGTTAGTCTCAGGGTAGAATTGCTAAGCAAGCTGAGAGGTATTAGGCTACAAAGCGCAAAGGACTTTCCTGAAAGTTTAGCATGTTGGATCATGTTGTAAAGCAAACTGAATGAGAAAGTTAACCGTAACGGGGGCTATTGTGGCTCGCTCTCTCTCCCCTTTGCAGAGGTTCATGGGGGATTCTTCTATATGGGTAAACCACCGACTTAAGTGAGTACAGGTGCAAGACAAATTATGGGGAAACTATGAGATTTGTTCAATTGCACTCAACTCACACTACAGATTTCTGTAACAAACCCCTCAGTGAAACCTTGTAGCCTCTTGCTCTAACAGCTCATCACCCAGTCCTCCCACAAACATTGCATGACAACCTAAAATAGCAACTGTGAAGGAGGCTGCTGAAACCTCTACAAAGGAGACTTCCCTTGGCCAAAAAAAAATATTATTAAAAATTAATTAAAACACTGGTGTGGCATCACAGAAAATATACAGCAAGAATCGTGGCATTTGTTAAACAGAGATCTGTGGAAAGGTCTGTGGATTTTCTTGGACCATTTTCACTAAAATTTACTGTGTATCACCCCTAACAAAGTATTACCAAATTATTTTGGTCCACAGATCATTCAAAAAGCTGTATATAGGTTGCAGCCTATCTACATGTAGTAGCCTGCATAGCTGGTAAGATTCAAAATACCCCCTACACTTACAGTGAATTCTCCTTTGGGCATTTGGGCACATGCAATTTTCTAAGAAGTACATATTTTGATGTACCCTGGCTAATAATCCATCCCAAAAGCCAATCACAATAGTGACCTGAACTAAACAATTAGGCCTTTTCACAAGGTATGTTTCCACTTTGCTCTCCTTTCAGGCACAAAGGCATCATCATTTACAATAAGATATTTTCGAGTTACCTAGTGCCTCTGTTTCAAAACGAGTCTATTATGCAAAACCTTTCTCATGAAAAAAAGTTTGATCTGCATGAAAATGAACTTGCAGGCGAACTAATTTTCATACTGGTTTTGACTTGTTTCGACACAGAGGTGTAGGCAACTCGGAAATGGCCTATTCAGATGTCTTCGGCAACATCCATGGGTACAGAACAAGTCGCTACATGTATTTTCTGATAATATGATAAACATTTATAAATACACTGTAAGTAACAAAATATTATAGTACACGGTGCATGCTACCCCATCCACTGTTGAACCCATCGTTCAATTTGATCCAAATTTGTTTCCATTTCATCTGGAGTATTACTTTTCAGTTCATGAACTATTTCCTTTCTGTAACTTTCTCTTGCTTCTTCTAGTATTGTTTGAAATATTTCGCACTCCACATTTTCGGTAAGCTTTTTTCCACTGTAACCCCTAGAAGAGACAAACGGAAATTAGCACATGTACAATGTAAAAAATTCAATTTCCCTGAAGTCAGAAAGAGTTATCTCTCATCCATTCTTCACAAGTATTTAAATTTTGGAGCAGTCTGTCAGTGGTGTATGTTATAAACAATTTTTATTTTGGCAAGGGGGCAATTAGTTGTGAAAAACCATATCAAGAGCTATGACAGCATCAGTTATATTAGTAACATTTAAGGCCTATTTCC